GCCTGATCGAAAAATTCTCACACAACTTGAGAATCGCTCGAAAAGGGCAAAAAAATCTTACATTGTTTGCCCGGCTTTAGATAAAAAGATTTGTAGAGGTTTAAATACTTTGTTAAACTAAGCTAACTAGCCATAGCTTCTTTTAAGTAAAGAGCCAACCAAGCAAATACATGTATTTCCCTAACATCTCAAACTCTTTCTTTAAAGTTCACCTTCAGATTGTTTTTGATCTGTCGACTTTAAAACTTCCTCTTCCTTCTGAACATTTCCGAACTAACCGTGTCTCCTCTCGTCCTCCTGCAGTCTCCAGGTTTCTGTCCGCAACCGAAACCCTCTGGCCTTCTTTCCTGTCTTTACACAGGAAGCTAAAGGCCGTCATAGGAGCTGGCTACAATAACAGTGGATTTCCACCCTTATCTAGTACGGTAAACAAAAAGTCCTCCAATACTGAAAAGGAATCAAATGTTGTTGCTTGAGGATGACACAGTTGCTGAGGCCAAAATGATTTTAGAACAAACAGAGTCTGAAAAACTGAACTCACACCAAGGTGGTTATTTTAGCATTAATCTATAAATGTGTTTCTGTAATGTTGGAAAAAAGGCAGTTTTTTCTCCCTAAAACACTGTCTGTTACTACATAAAAAGAAAAAAATATGCTTTTTTAATCTTCCTTTATGTTTGGCAGCCCAATGTGCTCCAGTTTACAGCGTATTGTATTGTAGATGGCTCCAACAAACTGGTCCCATTGAATTTAAAAAGTGACTATTTTGTTTGATCTAAACTCCTTTGGGTCTATATTAAACCTTCTTGTATTACATCCCAATTCAACCAGTGTCCTACATCCTCAAAACCAGCTAACAAAGTAAACAAAGATTTCAAAAACAATTTCTTAAGTGTTACTGTCCAAAAAAAGAAGAAAACTTTAAACAGAAAGATTTAAATCCTGATAACCTTCACAGAGAAACATTCAGACAGATACATTCATTGCTTGATTTCAAGCCAAACCGCAAACGCCGACCTCCAAGCCAGGACATCCGTGGCTCCGCCTCCGCCTCTCAGGAAGATCAAGTTGCTCCAAACCTGATCTCATCTCCTTCACCACAAAACATGAAACTTAAAATAAAATAAAAAACCTAATCCCTCTTTACTTTCCAGCAGTCGGAGCAGCGGTCTAGGAGCTGATGATCTGACCTGACCAGGTCTCGTGCTTGGTGCCTGGGTTCAGGTGGGTGATGATCACTTCCACAGCCTGGACCTTCTGGTTTTTGGGAGGGATTGGACACACCTTGTATGTGACCTCATCCCCTTCCATAGGCACATACTCCCCTTCAATGCTGCACAGAGAACAGAAATGACAATTGTGTAAAAAAAAAAAAAGTATTAAACTATACAGTAAAATAAATGAAAATTCGATGGATATCACTCAGTTGACATTTTATTTTACTTTGCAAAGTAAAAAGAGAACAAGTTAATCATAACAGCCTCACAGTACCATGTTCTGCCCTGTTCGGATCTAGACACTGTTTGTCTCACTAAATTAAAGCCTGCAGAAAGAGCTGTGATTATCTCCACATAGCTTTACCCAAACAAAGATAGACACTTGGAAATAAACACTATTATGAAATAAATCCTGAGAAACAGTCATTGTTATGAGAGCCATTATTTTTATCCCAAATATCCCCTAATAGGATAAACAATCCATCTCCCTTAGACACCTTGTAGCCTTGCAGCTCTGATGCTTCAATGAATTAAACAAAAGGGATTTAATAGCAGATAGATATTTTTCCATCACACAGTGAAATAAGAACTAAATGAACACATTAGACTGCAGGAATCCTAAGCAGTAACATTACTTTTTACTAGGGGTGCAACTAACGATTTTTTTTTGTAAATCAATTTATCCGTTGATTATTATTTTGATTAATCAATTAAAGATTGGATAGAAAAAGGTTCCTTAAAGAAGATTTTTTTATGAAATTAAACCAAGTGAAACTAAATTTTATTATATTATTGATAGAGCATATAGTGTTAATATTTTTTAAATAATTTTGGTATAGTTACAGCGCTAAGTGGATCGCTTTATCAGCTAAAGGCATGTTTTAGAGTCTTTATGCTAATGTAAATGATTAATGAATTTCTAAATATATTGCTGATTATTTCAATAATTGATTAATCATTATTAATCCGATTAATTGTTTCAGCCCTACTTTTTACTATTTCAAACTGAGCACATTTTAAAGCAAAACTTTCACTTTAAAAAACATCAACCTAACTGATTTCACTTTTTTTTCTTTTAAACTGTATAAACGTTTACAACATTTACAACGCATGTGGTCAATTAAAGGGAATTAACTAATTGTTCAGTAAAATTCTGCANTGCATTTGAGATATCAAAAAAGTACTCCAGAGTGTTGTTCAGCATGGGGGTGAGTAGAAAATGAAGGCTAATCATGTTTTGGGTGTACTGTTCCTTTAAAGCCTGCAGAAAGAGCTGTGAAAGTCTCCACATATCTTTACCCAAACAAAGAGAGACACTTGGAAATAAATACTATTATGAAATAATCCCTGAGAAAAAGTCATTGTTATGAGAGCCATTATTTTTATCCCAAACACTCCCTAATAGGATAAACAATCCATCTCCCTTAGACACCTTGTAGCCTTGCAGCTCTTATGCTTCAATGAATTAAACTCAGCACTCATAAATCCATATATGTAAAAGGGATTTAATAGCAGATAGATATTTTTTCCATCACACAGTGAAATAAGAACTAAATGAACACATTAGACTGCAGGAATCCTAACCAGGGACATTACTTTTTACTAGGGCTGCAACTAAAGATTTTTGATTAATCAATTAAAGATTGGATAGAAAAAGGTTCCTTAAAGAAGATTTTTTATGAAATTAAACCAAGTGAAACTAAATTTTATTATATTATTGATAGAGCATATAGTGTTAATATTTTTTTAAATACTTTTGGTATAGTTACTGCGCTAAGTGGATCACTCTATCAGTTAAAGGCATGTTTCAGAGTCTTTATACTAATGTAAATGATTAATGAATTTCTAAATTAATTGCTGATTATTTCAATAATTGATTAATAATTATTAATCCGATTAATTGTTTCAGCCCTACTTTTTACTATTTCAAACTGAGCACATTTTAAAGCAAAACTTTCACTTTAAAAAACATCAACCTAACTGATTTCACTTTTTTTTCTTTTAAACTGTATAAACGTTTACAACATTTACAACGCATGTGGTCAATTAAAGGGAATTAACTAATTGTTCAGTAAAATTCTGCAAACTTTGGAAACTTTAAAGGGAGCTTTAATACTGTAAATTTCCAGGCATTATTTCATCACTACAGTTTTATTCTTCATTCTTATACATTTTTCTCTGACGTTGGAAAGGAACCAACAATTAAAGATAAAAATGTGTGATTTGGAATCACAGAGTGCAGCAGTGCAAAAATCAGGATGTTGTTGTTATTGACATAAACTGGGGGCAGAAACTTTGCTAAAAAAGTTTGGGTTTTTTTCTCCTGAAAAAAAAAATTTAAGAATGAAAAAAACATCTAAAACAAAAAAAAAATAAAAATAAAAATCTAAAACTTTAAGCAAATCTTAAAACTACTTGTCAGATTTTTTTCTTTATTATTTTGTTTATTTCATCTGGGAATATTTTGTTCAGGTGTCTGAGTTGTCAGTCATTATTCCACATCCTATTGTATCGAAGTCCCGCCCCTACATTGAAGGGGACAGCAGTTTGAAACTGAAAAAAATTAAAACTGAAATAAATAAAAAAATTATACATAATACATACTTTTTTATAATATATATACTTTTAATATAATTATATATAAATGATACCTTTTTTAAACTTTATCACCCCTTTTTAGCTCCATATTGTATAACTTTTTGGTATGTGAATGTTGGTTAATTACAGGACAGTGAGAATTTCAACTGCTGCCTCTCACTGCCGACGTGTTTTACACTGTTTAAATTTGTCTATCCTAAAAACAAATGTTGTTGCATGATCATGAACCTCTGACTGTTGGTCAGAACTAGAGTAGTTAACCTTCACAATGTGACAATTTGCCAACTGATATGATCTACCCAGATGAACCACACAGCGCCACAGGAAATCATTCCTGCCTGTGGTCATCAATCTCTACAACGCCTCCCTCAAATGATTCAGACACATACATAAGACTTATATGTGTATATATTTATATTTTCTTGTGTGGTTTGTTGTATATAAATATATATATATATAATCTGGAGCGTGTAACAAAAGTAATTTCCCTCTGGGATTATTAAAGTATTTCTGATTCTGATTTATCTTTAAAAGCAGAAAGAAAATCATTCTTATATTTCAAGTCATTTAAAGGACAAAAATACTCCTTGCATTTGCAGATCATTTTAATTGATCTGCTTAAATTAACCGCATATACACATATAAGGACATTTTTACTTATGAAAATCAGTTTTGCAGTGCAAATACATTTTAATCTTTAGAGCTACCATTCAAGTTGGAGACTTTATCATCTTGACTTTGTTCTTGTGGAGTGAATTTTGTCCGATAAGTCTTGAAAACAAAGAACACATTATGTAAATCGAAAAAAGAAAAAAAAAAAAGGAACAATTCTAAAATGAAACTTTGAAAAATGTGTTGATAAAAAGAGGCTTGGAGTGTAACTTTGCTGTTTTCTCTGATTTTATTTTCATTTTCTTTTTGTTTTCCTTTTCTTTCCATATTTCATTTCCTTTAATTGTATTTCTTCAAACTACAATATATATATATGTGTGTGTATTTACTGATTTTATATTATTAAATTCTATTTTTTCAAAATTTCTCCTCTCCCCCAACCCCCATTTTTGAAAATAAATCTGAAAATGGGGAATTTAACAAAAATATTTTTTAAAAATGTATCTGAGAAAACACCACTGTTACTTCCTAAAGCTTTCATTGATCAAGAATTTATTCAAAGTTTCATTTCATGATTGTATTTTATTTTATTTTATTTTTTTCATTTACACAGCGTGTTCTATGCGTGCAACAATAATGGAACAAAATTCACTCCATATAGTCTTGGCTGCCCATGGTCTCGCAGACTGATGGCTAGCTGGGTATCCCATTAAGTCATTAAATCAGACTTCCCATTGTCTCCCCAGCTGTCATTTCTTTGCTTATTGTTCCAGCGCTCTTGATATGAGAAATGGAAATTAATTTTACTATCATGAGTTTTAAGCCCAAACACAATTGAAAAAGGTTTAAACATATACTACTCCAACTCAAAAGATTAAAACTCAAACATGTGCGAGTTAAATCCTGGTGGTAGAAGCTGGAGGACGGTGTGATTGCTTGATGAGGAAGACTCACTCAGAAATGTGAACGAAGATGTCCTCTCCTCCATGAGAAGGACGAATGAATCCATGACCCTGAGACCTGGAAAAGTTTTTACACACACCCTTAAAAACAGGACCTGATCTGGCTCGTACCGTCCTGCAGGGAGAGAAAGAAATGATTTAATACAGAAGTTTTTTTTTTTCTTTAAGAATGAAAGAAAAAAACTACAAAATCAAACTTGTCTTTGTGTCTCTACTCACGCTGAGTATGTCCGGGTGCGTTTTGTTGGCAGTGGGCTGGGTAGCTCTCCAGGCTGAGGCGGCTTCCTCTCCCTCTCCCAAACACGGCTGCCTTCCCTCAGGAAAGGAAAGGAAAGCTGCAGGGGGGTACGCGGGGACGTCAAAGGCAGCTGGGCGTCTGTCGGCAATGAGGAGTCTGACATCTTGACTCGGCTTGGCTGACGATTTCCGTGGCACACAAAGAAGAAACGGGTGGAGGGTTACACCTCCTGCATGGCACCAGGGCTTTTGATGCAGAGACGGGAGGAGCACCTTAGGGTGGATGAATGAGGCAAACAGAAACCTGTAGAAAAGAACGGGGGAAAAATCAGCCGGAATGTTTTTGTTGGTCGCTGGAACCCAAAGTGGAGGCAGTGGTGTCCAATGGGGTTAAGGTCAGGTAAGGGAAGCCATTCTATCCTCTGTATTCTCTAATAAACTCTACTATATATAAAAAAAAAAAAAAAACATTTACATGCAGAGTTTTCCAATATTTTATAACAATATCGCTGCTGCATCTATAAAGGTTTATAACACTTATAATAAACTATATGTGAGGATCAATAAACAGAAAAACAACAAAAAAAACTATTGAAGTTAATCTGTTGCCTTTTTTAATTCACAAAAAGCTGTGAATATGTTGACTGATGTTAATTGAACTTGTTTTAATGCGATTGGGATGTTGGCAGCAAATTTGTTTTATGGAGGTCAAGATAAGAGAAAGAAAGGAGGCAAACAGGAAGAGGCTGGAAAACAAGCTCCAGCAGAACAATATCAGAGATGAAGAAGGTCACAGGCTGGTGTGAGCAGACAGATGGAGGTCTGGACAGAACCAGTGAACTGAATCCATTCTACAACAGGTTCAATTCAGGAACAAGCTCAGCATCTTTCTCTGCTGCCCACAGTCACACGGACATCCTGCCCTCATTTGACCCAAAGCTTCTCTGTTGCACCTAAAATTTTTCGACTTCCTCCTCTGTTATTGATTCTTCTGCTTTTTTGAGTTTATTCTCAGCCAAATCAGAAGATGGTGCTGCTCCCTATACCTTTCACCTGTCTGATTGTAGAAGTAAAGAGGCTTCCAGAGAGACTGAACCATAATAGGTCACCAGGCCCTGATGGCTCCAGAGTCATGAAGGCCTTTCCAGAGCAGCTCTGTGGGATTCTACAGAAACCTCTCAACCTCAGTCTGGCCCTGGAGAAAGTTCCAGTGATGTGGAAGACCTCCTGCCTTGTTCCAGGACCAAAGAAGACTTAGCCATCAGTCCTATCAGTCACTATAGACCTGTTAGTCTGACATCCCACATCATGAAGGTCCTAGAGAGATTTCTGTTGGTTCACCTCAGCAAGCAAACAAACAGCTACCAGGACCCCCTGCAGTTTGCTGGGGAGTTGATGATGCCATCATACACCTGCTTCAACAAACACACTGGCATTTAGACAAGACAGACAGCACTGTAAGGATCAGTTCTTTGATTTCTCCAGTGCATTTAATACAAGTCAACCTGACTGACTTTGTGAGAAACTTCAGAAGACTAAAGTGGAGGAATCAACAACCGCCTGGGTCAAAGACCACCTGACAGACAGACCCCAGTTTGTTAGACTGAAGGCTCAGCTGTCTGATCAAGTAGTCGGCACCACAGGAGCACCACAGGGGACGGTACTCTCTCCATTCCTTTATCCTCTGTTCACCTCTGACTTCCAGGACCAGACAGAATCCTGCTATCTGCAGAAATACTCGGATTACTCTGCAGTCATTGGGAGCATCAAAGATGGAGCAGAAGCTGAGTGCAGAGAGCTGATGAAACGCTTTGTGGCATGGTGTGAAAGCAATCATCGCATCTTGAATGGCAACAAAACAAGGAGATGATTGTAGATTTCAGAAGAAAACAGGAACAAGTAGAATCCTGTTAACATCATGGGAGAAGAAGTGGAGGTGGTGAAGGAGTAGAAAATACCTTGTGTTCACCTGGACAACAAACTGGACTGGAGAAACAACTTTGACATCATCTACAGGAGGGGACAGAGCAGACTGGACATCTAGAGGAAGCTTAGATCCTTCAGTGTTTGCAGAAACATGCTAAATATCTTTTATCAGTCTGTTGTGGACAGTGTGATCTCTTCCTCCATCATCCGCTGGGGTAACAGCTTCAGAGCAAATGGCTTAAAGTGGTTCAACAAGCTAATAAAGAAGGCCGGCTCTACTCTAGGAACTCCTCTAGAATCTCTAGAAGCAAAGAAGATCATGGACAGCAGTGAGCATCCTCTTCATCACACTGTTAACCAAACACAGAGAGTCTTCAGTAAGAAGCTTCTCCAGATCCGGGGCAAAACAGACCAATTCAGAAGATCCTTCCTGCTTACAGCATCAACACCAAAAACAATCGGTTTCTTAAAAGCCTTATGTGTTACTGCAACATTTAATTTGAATTCAATTAAATGAAGTGAATTAAACTCAATTATTCACTGCAAAAAAAATTTTTTTATTTCTAAATAAGTATTTTTTACAAAAAAATAAGTGAATCTTTTCTGGAATTGAGGAGGTTAGTGAGACACTTTGCCAATGGAAGAAGACAATTTACATTTAAAATAACAAAAAAACAAATGCATGGTCTTATTTCAAGTGCATATTATCTATTACTCATTCAATGGGAAATCATCTTAGTTACCTACTCCAATTAAGGGTAAATACACTTAGTTTAAGAAATGTTGACTTATTTGTAGATCGTTTTTGCAGTGTAGCTACAGACCATCGCACAATAAGCACTAGTAGAACAGCAAAACCAAACCCTAGACAGGAACTTCAAAGGTTATTTTGTGCCTGGGTGAATTTTGTGAATCTGTCATTATAACGTTTCTGAGGTTTCATTCTTCCTGAATTAAAGGCTTCTTAAAGTTGTTTTTCTTCTTGGTTTGTAGGAATAAAGCGAGCTCTGTCACAGCCTGGAGCTGCTGCAACAGACAGAAATGGAATAAAAAAAATGACCCCAGTATGAAATATAGTGTGAAACTTCCTCTTCCTCCCTTTTGGTTTTGCATCACTGGATAAACATATTATTTCCACATCATTATTATTAATTATAGTTCATAAGCTGCACGTTGAACTGTTTCATAACAGCCATTCCTGAGCTTAAATGAGCTCAGTCATCTATTTGGCTCAAACTAAATCATCCAGTCATTACAGGGAGAATTGATCTATATCGTTAATTTTCAGGACAATCTGCACACGCAGAGATGACTACAGGGCGTGGATGAACATCCCTGTTTGTGATGAAATCACAGCTGCGAGTGAAAGAAGGACCGACTTCATCAGCAGCCATACGGCAGCTTGAAAGCCTGATGAGGTGAGAGTGTCAGAGAGTGATTCCCGAAAGGATCCAAGCAGCAGCAGCAGCAGCACACTTTGTGCCTCTTCCCATCACTCTATATATAGTTCAGGACGGCTGGATTGGGGCCATCACTTGAGAGGACTGGAACGTCTAGGCAGGAGCTGTTTCTAAACCACAAACCCAGAAGCAGGTTTTATTAAACTTAATCCTTAGATTAGAAACCAAGTAGTAAATTCTAAATATACCTAAAAAATGATCTATGTCTGTTTGATGGGAGATCTGTTTTTAAAATGTTCTTTAACTGATTTCTTCTGTATTTTCCTTTTTCCTCATAGTTAAATGTTTCAAATCATCAAAATGTGCCGTAAAACTAAAAAATAATAATAAAACAACTATAATAAAATAAAAACATGTGCACTTCCTGCCTTTCCTGTTCTTCTTTCCTTTCGTGTCAGAAAATCTGTGCATGCGTGGGTTCTCTCTGGGTACTCCAGCTTCCTCCCACGGCCCAAAAACATGGTTGTTAGGTTAATTGGCGTCTATAAATTCTGATTAGATGTGAATATGAATGATTGTGCGTCTCTGTGTTGCCCTATGATGGCCTTGCAATCTGTCCAGGGTGAACCCAGCCTCTCACCCATAGACAGCTGGAGAACCCCTCGCCACCCGAGGAGGAATAGTAGAAAATGGAACGGATGGACCCGTCAAAATCTTAAAGGAGAAGTCCGCGCATATTCAGAATTCAAACTTTTAAAAGTACTTTAGCTATGAAATTATTCCATCCTGTTCAATAAATGAAAAGTGGTTTTAATTCAGAGTAATTTTCATGTGAATGTGCTTCATTGGAGGCATCCATGTTTGTCAAAGAACACTACTGCCACCTACTGGTTTGTGACGTCACGGTGCGGTATCGGCTGTTGATCAAGTCCCAGTGCTGTATCTGGTGTTTGTCACAACGCGCTATTATCCAAGTCATCTTGAA